AAGTCCAACTCCCATCATTCCCTACAGATTTGATGATAAGGTAGCCAATTCTTTTTGAATATATTCATGTACAACCAATGATACAGCGATATAGAGTTATATTATTAGCTACTACTCATACAAATGTACATATACGTAGTGCTTCTTCATCGCATCAAAAATCAATTAGGATACGCAATGCAACCCATCTAGAGGGATGGTTACTATATATCCTTATAGATGGCTGAACTAACTCAGATATTTAAAATTCAACACAATCAATTCCACTAATTTGAGTCTAGAGAATGAAGATCGGGAAAAAGAAACCAAACTAGAGTCCTACCTATCATGACATCAAAACAGATTTTCATGTAATTGTAACGCAAAAAGATGCATTGAACAAATCTAATCTTATTTGAAGCATTTTAAAAGTACGTCACCTCTTGACCAAAAATTTTATCGTGGTTCCAACCTTTATCACGTGCCGCTTGTGAGAGTTGCTCGCATACACTTCTTGCCCGTGTTTCTACAAAAACAAAAACCACACATCACCACTACTGAATACTAAAACCACACACATACATAACTATACACAATACATCAATAACGCAGACACAAGGTAACGGCAACAATCAAAACATTCCTGGAATACACTCACCATTTTGTACACAAACTCTGCCCTGATATCTTTCTCCGTTATAATCGCGGAAGCAAATCCAAGCACAACAACATGAATAGACTCGTGTGTAAGTTTCACTACCTTTCCTTCTGAAAAAAACAACACAACACAAACCCTATTAATTAATCAACTACCCTGAGAAAATTGAACTAACACGATTTGTTGATTTTTCATACAACAATAGAACAAAACAAAACTAGCAGCATTAACAGATGAAATCAAGAATACCTAAAAGCATATCTGGCTTGGGAGAAAAAAGTAACAGATTAACCTTCAAATTAACACCAAAATAAGGATAAACTCCAGGAAGGATCTTCGCGCATTTGTCTAACGAGTTAACATCGTAAGCCAAAACGATACCATCGAAGACTTCGTTGTACCTGCAAAGAGACGCGACAAAAACAAAATAAATAAATAGAGTCGCGTTGATTGTGATATTTGAAAGTGTGTGACTAATTGGTTGAAGAAAGGTTACGTGAAAAGCATAGTGCTGAGTTCACGAAGAACTGATTTTGAAACTTGATTGCTTTTAGAAGGATGAATGTGAACGATTAAGCCGGCTTCTGAAACCTTTAACCCTTCCATTGACGACTGTAACTGAAGAAACTGTTGGTGTTTGGTTTTGAACTAGCAACTAGTTCTGTGTAATATGGTTAACTCTGTTTGTGAGTAAGTTAACAGTAACTCGGCGGAGCACGAGATGTCCGCCGCTTTTAGTCGCCGGAAACGGAGGAAGATGGAACGAGGTGGAAGAAAGAGAGAAGAGATGGATGGAATGGGTAATACTGATTCATAATGGACCGGGTGTAATTTAGGTGGCCTTTGGTTTTATGATTAAAAGTCCAATATATGTATGTATGATGTCTAAGATCTATGGAAATTCAAAAAGGCTAATAAGAAGAGGATAATTAAAATGACACTCTAGCTTAAAATATTTTAATTTTTAGATATTTAAACAAACAAGAGTGAGTGAAGTAGCTCAACTGATATGTATTAATTCAAGTTAAGAGATGGTAAATCTTAAGATCTAAACCTCAAGTTTAGAAGATTATTATTTTATTGACCTCAAGTTTAGAAGATTATTATTTTATTGCAATTTCAAACTTAAAATTGTGCTTCACATAAAATTTTACGGTTTTATAACTATTTAACTCTAATAAAATTAAATAATTATTAAAAATACTTTATAAATAAAAATATTTATTTGATTTCAACAAAAGAAAAAGGTTTAAGGCTAATACACATCAAATCTTAATGCATAACAATATAGAACAATTCACCTCAAATTTTAATACAAAAATTTAAATAAGTATTATTCATTTAACTCAATTAATACATATCAGTTGAACTACTTCACTCACTCTTGTTTGTTTAAATATCTAAAAATTAAAATATTTTAAACTAGAGTGTCATTTTAATTATCCTCCTCTTATTAGTCTTTTTGAATTTCCATAGATCTTAGACATCATACATACATATATTGGGCTTTTAATCATAAAACCAAAGGCCAAGTCTAACAGGCTAACCCTAAATTACACCCGGTCCATTATGAATCAGTATTACCCATTCCATCCATCTCTTCTTTCTTTCTTCCACCTCGTTCCATCTTCCTCCGTTTCCGGCGACTAAAAGCGGCGGACATCTCGTGCTCCGCCGAGTTACTGTTAACTTACTCACAAACAGAGTTAACCGTATTACACAGAACTAGTTGCTAGTTCAAAACCAAACACCAACAGTTTCTTCAATTACAGTCGTCAATGGAAGGGTTAAAGGTTTCAGAAGCCAGCTTAATCGTTCACATTCATCCTTCTAAAAGCAATCAAGTTTCAAAATCAGTTCTTCGTGAACTCAGCACTATGCTTTTCACGTAACCTTTCTTCAACCAATTAGTCACACACTTTCAAATATCACAATCAACGCGACTCTATTTATTTATTTTGTTTTTGTCGCGTCTCTTTGCAGGTACAACGAAGTCTTCGATGGTATCGTTTTGGCTTACGATGTTAACTCGTTAGACAAATGCGCGAAGATCCTTCCTGGAGTTTATCCTTATTTTGGTGTTAATTTGAAGGTTAATCTGTTACTTTTTTCTCCCAAGCCAAATATGCTTTTAGGTATTCTTGATTTCATCTGTTAATGCTGCTAGTTTTGTTTTGTTCTATTGTTGTATGAAAAATCAACAAATCGTGTTAGTTCAATTTTCTCAGGGTAGTTGATTAATTAATAGGGTTTGTGTTGTGTTGTTTTTTTCAGAAGGAAAGGTAGTGAAACTTACACACGAGTTTATTCATGTTGTTATGCTTGGATTTGCTTCCGCGATTATAACGGAGAAAGATATCAGGGCAGAGTTTGTGTACAAAATGGTGAGTGTATTCCAGGAATGTTTTGATTGTTGTTGTTACCTTGTGTCTGCGTTATTGATGTATTGTGTATAGTTATGTATGTGTGTGGTTTTAGTATTCAGTAGTGGTGATGTGTGGTTTTTGTTTTTGTAGAAACACGGGCAAGAAGTGTATGCGAGCAACTCTCACAAGCGGCACGTGATAAAGGTTGGAACCACGATAAAAATTTTGGTCAAGAGGTGACGTACTTTTAAAATGCTTCAAATAAGATTAAATTTGTTCAATGCATCTTTTTGCGTTACAATTACATGAAAATTTGTTTTGATGTCATGATAGGTAGGACTCTAGTTTGGTTTCTTTTTCCCGATCTTCATTCTCTAGACTCAAATTAGTGGAATTGATTGTGTTGAATTTTAAATATCTGAGTTAGTTCAGCCATCTATAAGGATATATAGTAACCATCCCTCTAGATGGGTTACATTGCGTATCCTAATTGATTTTTGATGCGATGAAGAAGCACTACGTATATGTACATTTGTATGAGTAGTAGCTAATAATATAACTCTATATCGCTGTATCATTGGTTGTACATGAATATATTCAAAAAAGAATTGGCTACCTTATCATCAAATCTGTAGGGAATGATGGGAGTTGGACTTCTACTAACATATATAAATCCTTTTTTGTGTCTTTAGATGTATATCTAGTATCTACTAGGAAGGTTTGCCCGTTCTTTGTATAAATACTTGTCCTATTTTGGGTCTTGTCTAGTCTAGAAGCACCCTTAAAGGCGCACAAACATACACTCTGCTATAGCCAAACCACAAATGCACCAAAATGTACAAAAGTTGTAACACACTCGCTGGATTTTGGTATCCTTACTCTTTCCAAAACCTTAAAAATGAACTCAATTCTGTCTCCATCGGTCTGTGACAGGACACAATGTACAATTGAGTTTCAATTTCACCTGAACTCAATGATTGTTATTAACAAAATCAATTGTAATAATTTTGTGTCTACTCGAAGTTATACACAGAGCTATCACTAATGAGAAGAATGTGATGTTAAGGTTTTTGGATAATGAGAATAATATGACATTGTACCTAGAAGCAATAGGGTAATCCATATCAGGAATTGTCATCCACTTCTCACGACCTTCCACACCCAAGCTAGCTACCTACAACACACTCCTAACTTTCGATGTCGTGTCACATAACACATTGAAATACATTTGACGGTGTTGATAAACTTCAATATCTAACTGCGTTAGAAGCAAAGGCCAAGACTCTTTTCCCCATCCAAGTAAAGTTGCAATAGCACGAAAACCACAATTTTCATATTTACCCATATCAATAATGTCATCAATGTACTGATGTAAGAAAACAGGAAACTGAAACAAGTAAAGATCTCTTCATAGGGGTGGAAATAGACTGTGTCGAGCTAGGCTTTGCCAAGCTTAAGTCTGGCCTTCAAAAAAAATTGAAGTCTAAGTCTGGCTTGTACCCTATCATAAGCTTATTTTTTAGGTCTGAGTCTGGCCTTTTCTAAAGCCTGGTTAGCATGTTAGCATGCATAAAAGCCTATTATTTTAGACATATGTAAATAAGCAATTAAAATAATGTTTAAATAGACTAACAAATTAGAAAACCAATGACACTAAAACGTTGTTTGCATTGACTTATTTTAACTTACTTATTAGCATAAGTTTTGTGAGACTATTTATTTAAGATAACTTATGAAAACAACTTATAATACTGCTCATAAGGTTTTTCCATCTTATTTTCATAAATTCTTCAAGATAACCAATGCATTTTAATTTCAAGTAAAAAAAATATAACATGATAATAATAATAAAAATTGTTCATATTTATTTAAATAAGTCGACCTGTCAGGCTTAAAATGTTTTTTTCGTGGCCTGAGACCTATCCTTTTTAACTAAATAGACTTATAAAAAAATCTAGACCTTTTCTATTTAAAAAAACTTAGGCTGACATGAGCCTATATAGGCTTGGCCGTGGGCCCTTGTTATCGGTCTTGTAAAGGCTTTTGATTGGCTGCATTTTGTGGCAAAACATTAGAGTGTGTATGGATGTTATGACACACATTATGTAGGGTAAGTTGAGTTAGCTAAAAGTAAGTTAAGTTGGATGTCATACTGAATGTTGTGACTTTGAGCGTATGACATTAGGCGTGCAGTTTTAGTTTTCTGGTATCTAGAATCCAGGAAACATTTTAGAAGCTCAAGCTGGAAGTCAGGAAACATTTTAGAAGCTCTGGAGAAATAAAATGTCCCTGACCTAAATGGTAAGTGTGAAGATTCTTGAAGAGAGGTTTGTCATGGGTAAACCTAAATTCTACACAAAGGCCCAAAGGATATCTGCTACTATAAATAACAAGAGGATGAACCTTAATAAATAGGGGAATTAGCAAAGAGATCACTGCGTGAACTTTGTGAGTGAAGAAGTTTGTTCTTCACGTGAATTGTGTGAGTGAAGAATTGTTGTTCTTCACGTGTGTCTTAGGATACTTATATGCCAAACAATTGTTTGTTGTATAATTGCATTGGTTTAGTGTGTATGAACTGTTGTGTTTATTGTGTCACTCAAAGCTGTTAAGCAAGAGTGTGCGTCTCTTGATCAAAGTTGTGAAGCAAGATCAAGGTGTGTTTTGAAGTGTATCTTCATATCTCTTTTGTAATTGTGTATTGATATCACTGAGGTGATTGAGGGGAAGTGAGTGGGTAAACTCAGGTCTAGAGGTCTCTATACTGAAGTGTAATTGGGTAGGTCTTAAGTGAAGAGTGCAAGCTGGGTGTTTGACTCTGAATTAATTCTACTAATAGTGAATTTCCTCCTTGGCTTGGTAGCCCCCATATGTAAGTGTTGTGACATTGAACTGGGTGAACAATTATTGTGTTATTTACTGCTTTCCATTTATAGTTTATTTCAGTAGTTCAGTAGTCTATGTTATTGTGGATATTATAACATTCGTGGTAACATCCACTGTTGGTACCTAGAATTTCAATTGGCATCAGAGCAGGCACCCTGCCTGTTTATTTCTGGGTGAGATCTAGGGAAGTAAAATTCTAGTACTATGGATAAAGACATAAGATTCACTAATAGACCACCAATTCTGGATGGTTCAAATTATGACTACTGGAAACCTAGGATGATTGCCTTCTTAAAGTCTTTAGACAGCAAGGCATGGAGAGCTGCAAACTCAGGATGGGAACATCCCGTGAAGATTGACAAGGATGAAGTATCTGTGTTAATTCCTGAAGAGGAATGGAACAAAGAGCAAGAGGCTTTGGCTCTTGAGAACTCTAAGGCATTGAATGCACTCTTCAATGGCATAGACAAAAACATCTTCAGACTGGTACACCATTGTGAACTGGCTAAGGAGGTTTGGGACACTCTCAAAACTACTCATGAGGGAACCTCAAAAGTCAAGATGTCAAGACTACAAATGTTGACCACCAAATTTGAAAGTCTAAAAATGATGGAGGATGAGACTATTTATGAATTCTACATGTATATTCTTGAGCTTGCAAACACCTCAGGAGCCTTGGGTGAAAAGATGTCTGAAGAAAAGCTTGTGAGAAAGATTCTCAGGTCTTTACCTAAAAGGTTTACCATGAAGGTCACTGCCATTGAAGAAGCCCAAGACATATGCAATATTAAGGTAGATGAACTCATTAGATCTCTCTAAACCTTTGAGATGGGGATGTGTGATCAGACTGTGGAGAAAAAGAATAAAAGCATAGCTCTTGTTTCAAACACTACAGATGATTCAGAAGAAGACAATGGTGAAAAAGAGGAAAATTTTTCAGAAGCAATAGCATTGCTTGGAAGACAATTTAATAAACTGGTCAAGAGAATAGACCATAAGTCTAAACCTTATGTCAAGAACGTGTCTTCTGACATCAGCAGAAGGGATAAGTCTGAAGAGAATTCCAGCCAAAGCAAAGGAGTTCAATGTCATGAATGTGAAGGGTATGGACATATTAGAGTTGAATGTCCTACATATCTCAAGAAGCAGAAGAAGGGCCTAGAAGTCACTTGGTCTGGTGGAGATTCTGATAGTGGATCAGAAGAAGAGTCTGCCAAACATGTCACTATTCTTAACAGTGTATGTATATCTGATGATGACTCAAGTGAAGATGAGTTGACCTTTGATGAGCTTGCAACCTCATATCAAAAGCTTTACATTAGAAGTACAGAATTATATCAGCACGGAGAGCGACAGAAAAAGCTCATAATAGGATTAGAGGCTGAGAAGATAGAGCAGCTAGCAACAATAGACTCACTCAGAAGTGAGGTCAATTTGTTGGAATCTAAATTGGAGCAAATGACAAAATCCATAAGGATTCTAAACCTTGGGACTGGCACTCTAGAAGAAATCCTATAAAGTGGTCAGACATCAGGAAATAGGTCTGGACTGGGATTTGTTGGTAAACAGAATCCCATCTTGAAGTTCAAGAGGCCAAAACCTGAAACTCAGAAGTCAAAGGGGATGTAACGACCAATGTCACAACATCAGAGAAACAGAAACTATAACCAAGTCAAGAGTAAATTCCAAGGGTATAGGTGTTACCACTGTGGGAAACTTGGACATATTAAATCTGTTTGTTTCTGGCTACATGGATTTCCTAGTCATCCTCATCAAGACAAATCCAAACAGGGTGCACATGTCAAGAAGCAGCATCATGCTAAACCCAAGAAGGATGCTCCTAACAAGAAAAGACAATGGGTTGTTGTTGATGCGGTAAAGCAGCAAGCAAAAAATATTAAGTATCCAGTTTTGTCGTCTCCACAGGGATTAGTGCGATATGAACGCTGTTCAACGATTTCCATATTTCTAAGCTTGTTTTCAAAAGTTTTGGTTTAAAAGGTTCAAAGAACCATGGATAAAAACTGAAAATATAAAGTAAAAACTGAAATATAAACGGAGTCTTGTTGGGATTGGATCTCATCAATTGATATCATATGCATTCTTCTGATCAAATTAAACACAACACAATCATTCGTCTAAAATCCTCACGTATCACTCATAGTAAAGCTTATTTCTAATACAACATCAAGAAAACAACCGTGTTGTCTCATTGGTGATCTCTCTACCAACATAAACACAACACAGGGCATTAATAATTGATACTCGCGCAATTGCTAAGCCTAAATCTATCTCTAGTATTTAGGACCTAACAGGTAATCATCCTAGACCCAGATCTGAAGAGTATATCTCTA